AACTCGAATGTGTACTGCACTTCCATCGGAATACTATTAGTTGTGCAGTGACCAATAGAAATGAAGTTATAGGAAAAACGACTTTCTTAGAGTAAATCAAGGTGCAGAGTTCAAACTTGAGTTGTATTCGGTCCCATATCCTATTGGTTTGTCAACGCGCAATATAAATCAACATTTTAAATGGTAGATTTCACAGTATAATTTTGATATTCAGACAGTCCAGGATGATTGATTTGTATGATTCACTTTTTGAAGTACACATAACTCTCGGATTTAAATCCGAAGTTTCCGCATTTATTTTTACTTCAAATCGAGAATTTTTGCTGTTCAATCAATCAAAGGTCATAGAATTTTTGACATTTCCTATTTCACCAACGAAGTTAACAAATCAATGATTCCCTAATGACCGTTCTCTTGATAAAAAACAGATCGATTCAAAACGACTTTACTCTTTGATAACTTAGTTTTTCAAGCTTACAATAAGAACGTGCAACCAACTTTAGTTTTCAAAAATCATCAATTTCGATCGATGTTGAACTTATGTACCCGATGGTTTTGATTATCACTCACGTAAAGATTACCTTCGCGATCAAACGACAACCCAAGTCGACGAGATAATTGATTCGGTTGACTTCCTTGACCGTTTCCGCCAACGATAATAGTTCCTTGATTGACGCCTTGAGACCAACGCATTATTCGATGATTCCAAGCATCAGCCACATATACAGTTCCTGATTGATTCACGATGATTCCACGAGCATTTTATAACTGTGTAAGATTATTTCCTTCACCTTGACCACCAGCAACAACTAGGCCTTGTTTTGCACTTTCCATCCACTTTATTACACGATGATTACTACAATATGATACATACACTGAATGATCTCGATCAACGAATACGTATCTCGGATGATCCAATTGGTCGAGACGATTTCCTCGTCCATTGCCACCTGCGACTACTTTTCCTTGGCTTTCGTCCATTCGAAATCGTCTAACTTCATGTTTGTCATAGTCAACTATGTAGAGGAGTCCATCATTGTCAATTGTTAAGCCAATACATCCAATATTTGAGATGATCATTTCTCCATTTGTCCCATTCTGACGAGGCCATCAAACGACTCTTTTATTACCGTAATCACAAATGATCAAAGTGTCTCTTTCTTTATCAATAATTACACTCGATGGATCATTCAATTGGTTAGAACCTTGTCCTTTTCCATTTCCACCAGCAACAATTCTACTACCTGTTTCACCTAAGTTCTATTCTACTATACGATGATTGTAGTAATCAACAATGTAGACGATTTGATCGTCATCAACATATAAGCCATTGGGATAGTAGAGTTGATTCATTCCATTATCGTTTCCCTTCCCTTCAGCAACAGTAACACCATGCTGTATCCATTTCACATGCGGATTCAGATTTGTACTGCGTAGTAATGACACTAAAACAAAGCGGCAAATCATTCATTAATATTGATTTAATTCATTTTGATCGAAAACGAATTTGTGAAGTTCCATCCAACGAGAGGAAGAAGAACAGTTTTACAAAATCGTGACATCAAACAATACCTCACTAGTAATCCCGTGATTGTGATATTTCGAATAAAAAAAATCCTATGTAATTCTACTGGATCTTGATCATGCTCCGAAATTTCTAAATTTTGATTTGAATAGTAACTGAATTCGAATTGAGTCGACATTTTCTTATTCATTTTGTTCTATGTGATTGATAGTAGTGAGGGGGAAACTCGCCAAAATTTTTTCTGATAGATAATTGCTCGAATAGCTGTAGATGATGAAAATGACATAAGTTTAGATCGAAATAGATGGATGACTGCGAATGATCATCAGACGATATTCCTCTAAAATTAGTTCAATCAAGCTTATCGTTTCAGTCGCATTTTGGTAAAAATCGACTGACTATCCTTAGCACTATTAAAAATCAAATGTAAGTTGAAAACCATTGATATGATCTTCATGATGAACTATTCAGTAGATTCTTTAGAGAAGATCTTATCTATCTAATTTTTTTAGTTCATTCTACTCATAATTTTCTTGTTCTTCTTGAATTTTTCGGATGCAGATGAGTCTATTCCAATCATTGTGACCATTCTCGACAATGATGAATTTGTGTAGCTTGTCGAATGAATTGTTCAAGTATCTTTTGGATTTCGTTAATTTTTTGTGTAAGCCGGTCAATATCATTTTCAACAAAAGTTTCTTCTTCTCGATGATACCGAATTTCTTTCGTGATTGGTTCAAGTTCTTTTATTATTTTTACTCTTTGTTTATCGATTAATTCCATAAGTTCATGATGGGCTCCTTCTACTGCTTTTTCTACTTTTTTCATCGTTGATTCTTTTCATTGTTCAATTTGAGCGAAAAGTTCCAACGGTAAATAATTTGAACTTTCTAATTTTTTTATTTGATCAAGAAGTTCATCATGGGATCTCACTCTTCATTATCGAATTTCATCGATAGTTGTTGTTCATGTTCTCTGAAATCCTTTGGACAAAAATATTTTTTACATCCAATACAAAATTATTTAACTGAAATTTTATTGCAAGTTGAATATAAGTGTGATTCGTTTACTGTTGCCATTTTCTTCAGAAGAAGATCAATGGAATGACGTAATTTATTAAGTGAATATCACAAATAATTTTGATCTGAAATAAATCTATACGAATGCTTATAAAGAAATAATTTTAAATGATTTATTCAACGTTCTTCTTTTGTGACACAAACGTTTGTAATGGAAAAAAAACAAAGTCATATTAATATTCAACTGACTTATATGTTGATGAATTAATTACTATAAAAATTTTGATCAAACTCGATAATTTCAAACATGTCATAAATTCATTTTTCAATAAAAGCGTTTTTAAATTCGCTACGCCTGTTTCTGTGTAAAGGGTAAGAATGTATTCGATAAATGAAAGCTCCTTATCTGTCTGTGAAAGATACATCTTAACTGAAAAAATTTCGATGATAGTATGATTCCTACTGATGCATTTCTGCGAACATACATTGTCAAAAGGAAAAAATATTCTCTATTTTCTAAATATATCGTGATTATAAAAGTAAATATTATACATAGGATACAATAGAATTTCAAAGACTATAACAGCATGTAACTGGTTTTAAGAAAAAACATTTCAATAGCTGTGGAAATCTGCTGATGAACCTCCTTTTATCCTCATTAATTTATTTACTAGCACATAAAAATACATAACTTAGCTGAAAATTCTAAACGCTTTTAGAATATACGATTATTTTTTCAAGGCTTTATGCTGATAGTGAAAATAGATTTAAATAAAAGATTTTTTGTTCTCGTTGTATTAAACGTTTTTTTTTGTGTGCAGATATAAAAGTGTAACTGTGTAATCGCGAATAATATTCTACTTAGAATTCCTAGATTGTGTTGAAGGTTTCGAATTCTCCAGCAGAATCGGATCTTTCATTTGCCCTATACACTTCTTTATCCATCATGTGTCATAGTTGACTCTTCTACGGTATCAATAGAATTCTAAATGAAGTTTGTTGAGGATTTGGACCTCTTGAATGGATACATCATCTTATCATTGCTTTTAGTGGACAAGAGCTGCTGTTGGATTCTGCTTTTCCAGTAGGAGAATTCTATGTTACGCTATGCAGTGCTTTGTCGAAAAACAGATAAAGTCATAAAGCTCTAAATTTTGTCAGGAAGGAATTTTGCATGTCCTCTTATTACAACTGATTAATTTTTTCTACTATTTTGATTGGACGGTAGCACCTAAGTGTTACTTTTTTAACAGTAAGAAACAATTTAGCAGGTGAAATTTACAATAATTTAACATATGTTGCTTATGTCAGTCATAATGAATATATGAAACTTAGCATAAATTAAAATTTCTCAATAAACTACTTTTAACTTCCTGAGTGCACATAGCCACATGGCTATACGCACATGAGTGTACATAGTCAGTCGGCTATGTGCACTTGAATGCAAATAGCCATGTGACTATGTACACTTAGGTGTACATAGCCAACCGGCTATGTGCACTCGAGTGTATATAGCCACATGGCTATGTACACCTGAGTGTACATAGTCACTTCCAAAAAAAAAACTAAATAAACAAGCGAATCGCTTTCAGTTTTCAACGATAAACACTCATTCGACATATTCATGGCCGATTTCTTGACCAATCTTTAAATATATGAATATCCAATTTAGTTTTTTAACTTAAGTAAATTATTTTCGATCTATAGATTATTCTTTTAGAGCAGATTTTAACGACACTTTTTGACACAAAAAAATATATTTTCACTAGAAAGCGTTCGACTTTTAATGATTTTGTTTGATTGAAAAGAAAATTTGTCGCAATGAAACATTGATAATTTCTATTGAATTCAATGGATAAGAATTAATTGTTCGAACATATTCTATTATCTTAATGAATGTAATATCAACAAGAAATAATTTTGATTTTATATTGTCATCTTTCGAAAGAAATAAACGTATTCATTTTCTTTTGTCTTAAAACTGAAAGAATGCCGAATCGATATAGCTGAATTTTTCTTGTAAATGTAAACTTTTTTCGAATTTAAAAAACATAGATTATATCGAGATTTTTTTCTTCATTCTATCCTCTAATATTAATGCTAATTATGAGTGTTAAAAAAAGTTAAGATTAGTTAACGATCAGGTGAACTAACTGCTAGATTAATCAATGCTGTAAGACTGATGAAATCATTTTTAGGGAAAGTTCTTACAAATTTTATTCAAATAGAATTGCCTGAAATATGTGAAGTTACTTTTAATCTAATTCAATAAATATTTTATTCTAAATAGATAAGTAGAAAAATAAATTTGAGAGATAGAGAGAGAGTTGTGGTGTATGACCGTATTTCTCTTTATTTAAAATTTCGACTTTTTATTTAAACAAAATTATTTTCTTAAATATTTTCACGATAACAAAAGTGAATTTGGAATATTAACTAGTAATTTATTACTTAATTTATTCACGTTTCTAGATGATGTATGTCTTCATGTATTATACAGTTTCAGATCTTGTTTTGTCAATTTTCTCTTGAATCATTTTCGATTTTATTATTTCGATTATGAATCTGTGTACAAAGACGATTTTAATACTGATTGATCAACAACATTTTTTTATCAATTGTCGATCGAGCAATATCATTTTGTTCTGAGTAAGACGAAGAAACATGAAATTTTTGTTGAGCTCTTTCTTTCTTGCGATTTTATTCCTAGTTGATTTAATCAATTGGAACCTCTTTCTGTCTATTTTATCCAATTAGAATTTCGCAGTTCGATCGAAAATGAAAACATCAAGAAGTAAATATTGATGCGCAGGAATGCCAAAATTTTCTATCGGAAAAAAAATGTCATGTCTCTAATTTATGACTGTTCCTCTCATTATTTTGTTGGTACGAAGGTTGTCATTGTGAAGCTTTGCTTTAAACAGTTTAAATGTATATATTTCTTTTTCAGCAGCTGAAAGTCTTCATTCATCTCAGTTGAACACTGTATGGATTGTTCGAAACGAATTCACTATCTTTAGTAAGAATTATGTTGCCAGTTTAAACTCGTTTGTCCGTTTTTGAAATTTTTTCAAAAGATTCTTATAAACACATAATAAAAATATTAATTAGCAGATTGTGATGAATTTTTTTAATGCTAATGCAGCTCTTGTATTAATTCGTAAAAATACTCATATTAGTTTCTATGATATTTTTTATTTATATAACGTCAGATTATATGAAATATGCATTTATTAATGGTGACCATGGATTTATTCATGCACTTGATTTTGTTTATTTTATAAAAGCGAGAGGAAATAATATTTTTTGGTTTGGATGGAGAAGTACGATCCTGATTATGAAATATTGATCTAACAGAATGTAAATTTAAATTACTGTTATTTAATAGAAAATACGATGAACTAAAATTAACAAATTTTCTTTTTAAGTACATTTGATATGGTTAGAACAACAAAATTAGTTGGAAAAAGTATTATTATTTATCTATAAAAGAAAGGTTCTCCAGAGGTTACATTTCACTTTTTAAAAGATGAAAAAAGCAAGGTTTGTATCGACGCTCAAATGAGGACATATTGGTGTAAATTAACTGTAGATTTTTTCTTTTATAATTAGTTTCAGCAAAATTTTGCAAAATTAAGAAAAATTTCTCGTTGATTATGTTTTTTAATTGTTTAGTCGTTTCCTTACATTATGACAGCTATTCATGGCCTGTATGAATGAGCTGAACTATTGAAAAAACTTCTTAATAAAAAAAGAATTTATTATTTTCATAATTTTTAATTTGAATAAGATTTTCGTTTTTTTTTTTGTTAGAAAGCCAAAATTATTTTGAAGATTTGAGAAGATATGTAAGAAGCTTCTATTCTATTAAATATATTGTTCCTGCGAAAGAAAATTATTTCATAGAAGTAGAGACAAGTTATTTGTTAAAGGTATTGACATTTTTCTACGACATTTGAAGATACAACTTCTATAATAGACAAAAATATGTGTCAACAGCATTGGGATAAACTTCTGAGTATACTTTTCTTTTCTAGTGTAGATGTATTCAATCGCTAATTAGAAAAAGGAAAAATCTAATTGATTATGAATTGAAAAATAAAAAAAAGTAGATATTTTATACTAATTTGTAAGTGAACATCAATAAAATAGTTCTATTTATATGAAAGCAAAGTTTTTACTAATCTTGTAGTTACATTCATTCTAAATATGCCTTATAAACTGATTTCTTAAGTTGTACTTCTATTGTATCCTCATCCGTACTCTCATTGGTAGTACTTATGAATTTCAGTTAAAGGTATAAACGATGATAGAGTCAACAAGAATCGAACTGATCATTATTAGCTGTATCAAAAGAATTTTTTGAAGATTTAATGATCAAACGACACCAAATATAAGAACAAAATTTTCTATAAATCTTTATATGCTGAAACAGCAACGAGTAGTGACGATTGGACTGATGATGAGTATAAATTGAAGATGATAAAGAAAATCTTAATGGAAAAAACATTAATAATACATCATTATATGGATATCTATTAAGAAACTAGTTTTTATTTATTTGTTTATTTACGAGACATTTTTAAATTTTTATTTTAGTTATTAAGATGTGATGAACATTCATTAGAATTATTTGGACGTCTTCAAATCGCTTATCATTTAACAATAAATAGAAAATTTCAAGCTGTTCAAAAAATTTCGTTCAATATTATTATGTGTTCTCTTATTCGTTGTTGAAACATATCAAGATATTCTTCATAGACAACAACTAATTATAACATCTAAATAATAAATTGTTGGTTTACAAATGTCAATTGGAAAAACAGATTTAGAAAAAGATAATGAACAACATTTATATAAATTAGCTACTTATTTTGACTCATTTACAATTACAACCAATACGTACAATGATGACATCGAAATTTGCACTTAATCAAGCATATTTATTAAAAAAATTCTAAAGTTACAACAAGCTTTATTAAACATCTTAGGATTTCAATGAGTCTAGTTTGTTAGAATTTAAAAAACGAATTGTTTTTTTCATTATTATTAACTTTTAATGAATATATATATTTAACATTTTTAAAAATAAACTTATTAGAACGTTTTTCTTTATTTGAAGATCTTTCAAAATTCAACTGAAAATATTTAATCATCAGAAAATTAATCGAAATACTTCGTTCTTTCTTTTTGTCATATAAAAATCTAACGAGTACAATTTATTTCAAGGATAAGTTATAATAGAAATTTATAAAGAAATCTGTCTGTAAAACAACAATTTAGAATGAATAGATTTGTCTAAAATAAGATCACTTTAATTTATTCTAATTGCAATAAACAATTGTTCACATTAAGAAAAAAGAAAGAATTTTGATTGATTATCGAAGTATCGAACATGTTGTAAACAACATTGATATAAATATATTATATTCAGTAATAATTACACTATATAATTAAGTTATTAATAAGACGAAGAAATAATAAAATTTCTAATGATATATCTTTTAGATTTTTTCATATTTAAATAAAAATGGAAATGAACAATGAGAAATAAATTTTCATTCTAAAAAACTAAAACATAAGATGATGATTTTTCATTTAATGGTTTATTTTCTCGAATTGAAAAAATCTTCGCTGATTGTTGTAATTGATAATTTCCTAAATTTGAATGCATATTTGATAGATCTTGATTACTTAATTCATTAAGTACATTTTTAAAAATTTTATTTGTATGTAATGGATTACCATTATTTGTATAAGATCTATCAATATTTTCATCGACTTGTGTGAGACAACTTTCATGAATTGTATTTATAAATGAAAATTCACGTAATGATGCTAAATCAATCATTTTTGTTATTGTATGATTAAGAACATTATTAATTTTAATTTGTTCATCATCTGGTTGACTATTTGCATTTGTAAAACCATCAATTAATGGATAATCACTTGATGAATACATTGTACTTGAAATCATTTCAGCATATATAGAATCTTTTTTCTAATTCCACCTCGCCATTGACACATATTTGGCGGTTGTAATGGACGAAATTCAAATTCATGTTCAAGTATTATTTTTGATAAATCAATAACAACAAATGACGTTGTTTTAACTTTCAAACGATGTGTTAGTTTTTTTGATTAATTTTGTTCAGAATCAATATTTTCACTATGGCCTTTCGATCGACTTTCTTCTTTAGTTCCATCTTTATTTGTATGTTGTTGTTCTTCTTCTTCTTCTTCTGCATTTAGAATATTTCCACTTAATTTTTGTGTTTCAATGTTTAGTGCATCAACACGAAAACCACAGATTTTAGCACCAAAAAACAACATGTAGGCAACTTTTTATCAATAAGAAATCAATCTCATATAAAATAACAGTTGATGACAAGAAAATTCATACTAAGACCTATATGTTTGATAATCCTATCTTTTATTTCTTAACATAGTCACATCGAACGAACCAATGTATTCTTCAATAAGCTTAGTTTGGTACGAGTATGGCTTCTGGATATTATCGAAGGAAAAATAACTGATATCCATGCCACACCACAATAATAATCAGAGTATGTGTTTTAACTTATTCGTATGGCAATAGTACTATTTTTTTGTGCACTTTTTATCAAGCAGATATAACTAACCTAGGATCAATAACTAAACCAGCTTTAACAAAATTTGGTCCTATATTATGATTATCTTTATCATTAAGTGCAACAACATTTAAAACTTGTGATAAACGTTCAAAAAGTGGAATACTAAATGTATTTTTAATACTAATTTTTCCTTGTGTAGCTGATTCAAGTGTTTTTTGATATAAATCAACTAATTGTGTTGGTGTTTGAATTGGTTCATCATTGACATTTTCAGTATTAATTGATTGAATTATTAAATAAACATGATTGTCGTCGTTCTGTTAGACTTTCATTAAGAGAATTTTATATTTAAGAAAACTAATGTAACGAAAAATGTTGAAAAGCAAAGTCGTATATTTTGCATGAAACTTGAACCAGACAACATAACGCCTTTATTACGATCATTAACTGAAACATTCGATATAATAGAATAACAAATCAATGCTAACAGCATTATTTTTAATCATCATACAAATGGAAGTGATAATTTAACGTTTTATTTCTATTATTTATAGAAGAATTATAGTGACGATCAAAAAAGTAAAAAAAAATCTCTTGTAGATCTAAACATGTTTATTTTGGTAAGCAATTATCAAATAAATATTATTGATCAACTTGAACGATGAGAAAAAACAAATATTATTGCATTTTCAATGTTTTCTTCCTGTCACATCTTATAGAGCTAATGCTCTAACTGAACCTAATCGATTGTCTCGTCGTCAAAAGATGAATAATGTTCTTTTTAAAATTGATATTTTGCTTGATGTGTCAACATCTTTTCAAATTTCATATGCAAAAAGAAGTGTTGGCACTATGATTAGTCAACAATTACTAACTATTATTAACTTAATAGCACTTAAAGTCTGAAGTTTAATGTTTATACAAAAAAAAAAATAGTATTAAAATGTAAGGAAAGTATACACCATCTAAGATGTTCCCCAACTCTTAATTAAAAAATAAATAAAATAATTTAATATAAGAATTTTTGATTAGTTAATCAATAATTATAATAAAAACAAACGAACTTATTTCAATATTGAATCATTAGAAAAAACACTTTTTCACTATAGAACGATGAGATTCGATTCGATTACAATTCATTTCTCCATCAATATCTAAAAAAATCATTTTTTTCAATAGTTGGACTAAATTTAAAAAGCATACAATTTTCTTAATAATTTGTTTTTAAACCTATATAATAAACATACTAATGAATTAAGATTCTTATAAAGATTCTGTCGATCGTTTCCTCAGAATACCATCTGCTCAACCAAAAATTAACATCTTGTTTAACACGCAATATTTTTATATTGCGTGTTAAGGCATTGAGAAAAGATACGAGATTTTTTCTCACCTGAAACATGATTATAGTTCGAACGACACAATTTAATATGTCGAACAGTAATTAATGATTTTTTCGTAGTTTATCTGATATCTAAAAATACGAAGATGCAGATCATTTCTAATTATAAAATATCAGTCATTGAAAAATATTTTATTAAAATATTCAATAAGAAATCATCTATAAATCAGTATGAAGTGTTGTTTTTGAGATCTATTCGGGACTTGTATTACATAAATAATTTATTTATAGTTTAGAAATATCACAATAACACATTTCTCTTATGTTATTACAGTTAATTGAAATGAATACTTACATACTTAATAGGATGGAAAAGTCATTCGCATTATTCAACTTGAAGATAGATCAGTTGAATTGATATTTACATAATATAGGCTAGTACTTCTACACGTATATTTATTTCGATTGATACATAAAATAAAAATATACAAGTAGATACTTGTCTTCAAACAATATCATTATTTATAAACACAAGATATAAGAGAAAGTACAGTATGATCTTACTTCAATTTAGTGTTTTAAAATTATCTTTAATTATTGCATACGGCAAAAAAATGTGACGAATGATTAATTTGAATAAATTAGGTGGAATACAACCGCTCACAATACAAATATATTCTGTATGAACTCTGATAAATGATACAAAGTGTGGAACATTATATATTTCATGATAGACAAATCAACAATTGAGTTTGATCTTTCTCAAAGTGATTTTTACAATCAACGGTAACTCCATAGATAATCCTACTCGAGCAAGACGACGTTTAATATTAATCTTAAGATGCTCTGTTCTATGTATGGATCGATCAATTTCTAAAGAATAATAGAAACATAATTCGTCTTTTTTTTTTCCTTGAAATAAGAAAATCAAATTTATAATATGTAAAACGTTATTTATCATAACCTCAAAATACAATGAAAACTTATCAGAATCAAGACAAAAAACAAGTCGTGTCATATGTCAAAAATGAATATCATCCAATTAACAATTTCCTACATCTAGTTTAATTTGGAAAACTTTCTTTTGAAACATGATAGATCGAGTTTAATGAATACAAAAATTGATGGACATAAATCAATCTTCATGTATTTGACATGTTTCCAATTGAAAAATAATTGAATAAAAGTTGATATATTACTTTTTAAAATAAAATATTTTAATTTTGGTTTTTACAATAAACAAACCATTATTCTTTTAGTCATATTGAGATTTGTAAAAAAACGAAAAAGACAATCAAATGTCAAATTGAAGTAGAGCCTTTCGTGGATTATTTTCCAATACCCGTGAACTGTAGACTACGCGGATCTTGTTTATAATAGAATGATGATGCATAGTATTTTTGTCGAGGTATAATTTTTGAGAAGGATATGGATGTCGCTATTAACCCACATCCACACCCTCTGTTAAATGGTAAATACTCCAGGTTTCTATCTAATGTCGGATTTTTTTTAAAGTGTTAACGACCATTTTCTGAATAACTTTTGATTACTTTGAGTTATCGAGCTGCGGTTTTCACCATTCAAAAGAGCAAGCCGGGGGCTACAAAATCCTA